TTCCTTCCTTCCTTCCTTCCTTCCTTCCTTCCTTCCTTCCTTCCTTCTTTCCCTCCTTCCCTCCTTCCCTCCTTCCCTCCTTCCTTTACTTTCCTCCTTTCTCTCTCTCTCCCTTTCTTCCTTTCTCCCTTTCTTCCTTTCTCCCTTTCTTCCTTTCTTCCTTTCTTCCTTTTTTTTTTCTTTTTTCCTAAAAGATTATTAGAAAAACCAGAAGAGCTCTTTGGATCTGTTCTCTGCTTGGCCATTTAAAGTATCATTTTGCATCCCAAGACCCCTTGGACGAAGGCATGGGTTCGAGCTGGTCGATTATGTCACCAGAAACACTTTGTAACCCAGGGGCTTTGCACTGACTGAAAGTGCTTTTGATCTTTTGCAGGAAATACCCCTGCAGGAGAAGGTAAGCTTATACAATCTCTGTGCAGATGTGTGCTAACAAAATAATGTGCAGTTAATGTTTCTAATATCGACACCTCGCAGCTCAAAAAGATGTTGGAGGTGCAAAAAGGAATCTTGTGCAGCACCTAGGCAGACAGGCGCATCAACCAACCAGACTTTTAATCCTTTCTTACTGAGTATTCCTCCCAAGTCCACCTCAACAACTCCCTTCTACCTTTCCCTAATTATCCTGCAGTAAATTTTGCCCAAAATCTCTTTAAAGCTTCCCATGAGAAGCTTCAAACAACTCCTCCTTCTCCCCAGTCCTAATTTTGCTCTCTTGTGGGATCCATGAAAAACTTTTTCCCCCCCTTTCTGAACAATGAAGTCCTGGTTATGAAGGACTGCAAAGGACATTTGCTTCAAAGTCTTGTGGCTAAGCAGGAATTCCTTGCAGCCCATGGCTCTAAGGCACTAAGGGACACGGTTTAGTGATGAAACAGACTGATGGTTGGACTTGATGATTTTGAAAGCCTTTTCCAGCCTAAATGGACAAATAATTCTATGATTCTATCTTTCAAATAATTAACCCTGAAAGTTGAACATTACATGTGTTTTTGTTGTTGTTGTTTTGCTTAGTTTCACCTTCAGAAGAAACCATTATCTCAGCTTCAGAAAAACTTGATGAGGAGATGGGTAAGTGAATCCCATGCCTCCTATTAGTCTTAAAGCAGCTTGCAGAAAGTGGTAAAAATTAAACAAAAGCAACGCAATCAGTTCCATTGCAACACTCTGTTATTCCTTCTGACCCTAAAATGTTCTACTGACTTGCTCCTGATCCCTGCTGCTTGCTGTTTTCCAGGCTGGCTGATGTTCTTGTCCCATTTAATTTCTGTTTCTCCCTCTTGGATGGCAGCTTAACTCTGAGATTCTTCTCCTAACCCTGTCTCCTCAAAAGATTACTTGCATCTCAATCAGCTATGTATCTTCTTCTTCCTTAATAGAAATGCTGAGATTAAAAAAAATATGTTTTAATTTAATTTAATGTGAGTGATTTATATTCTTTTACAGAGTCCTTAAGGAGAAGAACTGGTAAGCTTTTCTGACCCTTGATTTGGTTTGTTCTTTGCGAGAAAACCACAGAGAAAGGGAGATTTTTGCAGTCAGGAGGTCCCAGACTATTCTCATTGCACGTCAGTGGGAAGGATGTTGAAGGTTGTCACCTGTGATACGAAGTGAAATTATGGTGGAAAGTATCTCACTTAAAAGCTGCAGCAGAACGTGTAGTTATGAGGTTGATGTTTGCCCTGTTCGTATGAGCAGTTGAGCTGCGTTCTGTTCTGTGCCAGTCCTTTGTATAATTTTTGGTTGACAACCACATCATCTTGCAGATGACAAGGATGCTGAAGGCTCAGTTGGCTTCTCTGTGTATTGAGCTCTTGTGTGGAGCATCTCAGTAATGAGCACTGCCATCAGCTGTGGAGATGCCCACTCTAATCTGGAACATCATTATGTTTCCATTATGCAAATCATCACCTTCTGAGCTGATCTGACCTACTCACTATTTTCATGTCTTTATCTGCAGAATACCTGGAGAAACTTGTCTTTTTGGGTGAGAGCTCTTGAACTTGTTGGGAGAATCCTGGGTAATGTGTGTTGCATGTGGAACAGCACCCAAAAATCAGTTGTCTCATTTGCTCAAAGTTTTGTCTCTTAAGAAATCTTCTGTGCACCAGTAACAGGGTGCATTCATAGCAGTGTGAATTCATCTTTGGAGCATCCCAGAGTGCCACACGTGCACACTTGAGTGTCTTCATTGGTGACAAACTCGCAGTACGAGCCACAGATTTATTCCCTTCCAAAGTTAAGATCCTGTGCAACAAGGGCAAGTGTGTTCAGCCTGATAATTACCTTAAGGATGGATGGAACAGAAAACGTGGTATATCTCTGTGACAAAGGCTGCTGATTTCATTTCTGTGTATTTCCACCCATTTCCTCCCTTCAATCCTACTTTCTTGTCGTTGCCCCTGCACTAGTGGTTACTGCCACCAGTGAAATCTTTGCCCTGCTGCGATGCACGTCTCTCTTCCCTGCATCAGCACGTCAGATACAGGCAGTGGGGAGGGACTGAAAGTTGTCTCCAGTGCACTTGTTTATTTAGAAATAAGGAAATAAGAATAAAGAATAAAATTAGGAAATTAAGGAAATAAGAATATAGTTGGCTGGGTTCTATTTTTTTGCTTTTGGGGTGACGATTCAGATTGACTGATTGACTGTTATCCAGAGGAGGAAGAGTTAGTAAGATGATTCCTGCTTTTTTTTCAGACAGAAATTCTGTAACCTTCGATGCTGACACAGCTCACCCTAGACTGGAAGTCTTTGATGAAGGAAAGAGTGTAAAGGATACAGGGACTAACAGAGATGTGGCCATGAATAGCAAAAGGTTCGACTCCCACATCTTCATCTTGGCAACCGAGGGTTTCAACACTGGCAAGCACTATTGGGAAGTGGACGTGGGAAAGAAAAACAGCTGGGAACTGGGAGTAGCTTCTGAAGCTGTGACTAGAAAAGGGACAGTGATTCTCTGCCCCAGAAATGGCTTTTGGGTCATGGCTCTGTCTGACGGGGTAGAGTACTGGGCCTGCACTGACCCTTGGACACGTTTGAATGTAAGGTCGAAACCACAAAAGATTGGGATGCTACTGGACATCTCAGCTGGACAGCTGTCATTCTACGATCCCCAAGGTCAAACGACTCTGTATACTTTCAACATTGCTGAGAGTGATAAGAAAGGGAAGTTCTTTCCCTTTTTTTCCATGGGTAACAGCGCTGGAAAGAAAGACCCTGAGCCACTAAAGTTGTGCTCTTAAGGTGAGTAGGCATCTTCATGGAGAAAACTGTCTTGCTGTTTTGCCTCGTTCTCCTCGTATCTTCATGCCACTGCTGATTTGCACAGACCTTGGAACAGATTGTGTGTCCCTTCATTCAGAGTGCCTCCATCATTTCAGGAACTGTTAAGGTGAATCTTTATTGGCCCTTCACTCTCGGGCTCATCAGGACACGTTGGGACTGCATCTTCATGTAGGTGCCAACCTGTCAAACAACAATCTCCATTTTTTGCTTTTAACGTGAAGAATAAAATCACTATTTTCCCAGACTGATCTACTGGTGTTTGTTCTTTCCATAGCTTTCTTTCTACACAGCCTCACAGCAGGCCTTTTTTAAAGCCTCCTTGGGTTATGTCCTAGAGTGGGGTGCATCGTGCACAAAAGCATGATTTGAAAGCTTTTCTTGTAAAAGTGAGATTCTTCATGTGATTTCATTACTGTATCTCCAGCAAGGATAACGTGGTGGATTCCTGGAGATGAAGGGAAATCCCTTAGCATAATATTTTGGGTTCTGTAAAGGTTCTGAAAGGATTCTGTAGATCTCTCTCCTCTTGTATCATCACTCTTCCTATGACCTAACCTTGCACGTTCTTAAGTGAAACCTCCAGCTTTCAAAGGAGTGTACGTCAGCCACTGTCCTTGCATGCAGATCAGATCTTCTCCATGAATGCCTCGTTATCTCTAGATCTTGAAAAGCTGCATGGTCAGAGGCAAAGGCCATTTTGTCCTCCCATGGGCCAAGTTTTGGTGTTGGTCTGGGCTCATCTTGTGTGGAATTCCTTCTTCATGCATTTCTTTCCCTTGTCTGCTAATGACTATCTACTCGTTAGTTCTATTCTTCGAACTGTTCTTGTTGTTGTTCCCCCTGTTCTTGTTGGTCAACTTCAAGCAGAAGACACCTGATTTGTTGCACACAGGGGGCAATTCTGCTATGCATCACTTACTGCATCATCCAAGGGTTTAGTGCTTGCTCTTGCCCTCTGCAGTGGTAGCTGAAAGCTTCGTGCCAAGGCAGCAATGGGCTCTGTGGGATCCATTTCCATTTCCCCATTACAAACCTTCCAAATGAATTACCTGAACCTTCTGTGATTCTGGGTAATGCAGAGTGTGCGTGCAGCATCTGTGGTTGGAAGGATTTTTGTATTCCTGGAAGGTAGAAACAAAAGCAACGACGACAACAAAAACAACTCACAAAACCAAACAGCTGGGATTTGAAAAGGCTCATGAATACGCACTTCAAAAAGGAAGCCCACTCCTGTTCCTAACAATGACATTCGGATTACAGGGAAGGAGGTTGTGAAATATTTGGGCTCACATATAAACCCTTGGGTCCATCTGGCTAAGTGTGGAAAAATAAACGAGAGAAACACGTTCCTGGGCACCTCATCCATGCAGCTCTCGCTCCACAGTATCCGTTCACAGACTTGAAGTCACTGATAGTTTGGGAAGGAGTGTTTTATCCTTTCTTTTTGGTGTGTGTTCTTCTGCTAAGTAAATAGGAAGCCACTGAAAACGTTGTAATTAAAAGAAACACTAAAAATATTCTAATTAAAAGGAATCAAGATGTGAAATGTAGCTAAAATTATCAGATTTCCTATTCTGCCCAGAGCCTCATCCTGGTGTGAGAAGCAGCATAGCTTCAGCTGTGAAGCTGTTTCAACGTTGTCTCCATCTTCTATGTATAACACATCCTCTCTCTCTCTTCCTATGCTGAAAATCCTTTTTTTTTTACTGAAGGGAAGATGTCACCTTTCTATTTCCACAAACTTTGCAATGCCATTACAGCTGTACATGACTGGCATACCTCACATTCCCAATTTTCACTTGAAATGTTCTCTCTAACCCCGTTTTGCAGTCAGTGGTTTAATCCTGATAATATGTTGACTTTGGACTTTGTTGGGCACGATTTCTGCAGTGCTGACACAGTCGCTGGTTATTAAGAAAAGCATTTTCATTGGGAGAGAAGCAGAAAAGAAGGCTGAAAGCTTTCTCTGGATTTGCTGGTCTCATCTGAAGTGGAAATCAACCATTACTTAAAAGGAGCAAAACCTGAGATTTCTTTTTACAGGAGAACAGGTGAGAACCAACAGGAACACGGCACTAATGGGCATGGCTGTGAGGGGAGCTGACAGGTCAAGTTGATGGTAGGGCTGGATGATTTGAAGGCCTTTTCTAACCTGATTGATTCTACGATCTTGTTATTGTTTAAAAAAAGAAAAAAGCACGTCTTTTAAAATATGTACTTCACGTGAAGATACGGAGAAAGACAGAAATGAAGTAATTAATGGGGTAACCTCTTGTTCTTCCATCCTATGAAGACTATTTTTTTAGCTTCAAGTCGCTCGCATGCAGCAAATAAGGATGAAAGCAGCTCCACTGCCTCTCTCTTTCCTTTCTCTTGATGTCATTCACTCACAGAATTAAAGTCCTCTGTGTTAATTTGGCTGCTACTGCCATCCCTGCGGTGCGTACGTGATTTCATGATGAATGTTAGATAATCCTCTGAAAGAAAAAGGAAAGAAATTGCTCATAAACCAGTCTATATTTTTGGGAAAGGAAGATTGTTAAAATGTCCGCTTGCCGCTGTTGTATTTATGACACGGAGTGCTGGAACATTTCCTCGTGGTGACCACTAATAAGGTCAATGAGGTTGCATTATTTTGTTTTATTTACTGGCTGATATTTCTATTTCTGGGCTCTACAGTGAAATGTTGGCAGATGTAAATGAGTATCTAGAGAGTTTGGAAGTTTAATTTGTAGAGGACAAACGAATCCCTAGGTACAAGACCACAGAAGAAGTAATGGCTTTTAATACAGTTTCTTGTTAGGTCTCCTTACAAAAAAAAAAAGACTGGGGGACTCCAGGAACCTGTTCTTTATTCCCATCTTATTTACATCAAACTCCAGCTCAGGAGTGATAAACAAAAGCAGAGGAATAGAGAACAAAATTAAGAAGTCAAGGATTACAAGGCTGAGCAAGGAACAAGGAATGATCTTTGTATGAGGATTGATGATACAAAGGAATTGCAACTCAGAAATGAGCTAGTGAAATGAATGGGGAAATGTTTCTCCCAGCAAAAGTCGTCAAGGGAAAGAATTGCATTGTGGATTCAAAGCCAAATGTTTTCCCTGCGATTGCTGCTGGGTTGTGATTCTCATTTTGGCAGAGTTGCAGGATTGACATTTTCTCAGAAAAGATACGGGGAGCTCAAAAAGCACAAAAGAAAACAAACAAAGCCTTAAAACATCGAATGCAGAAGTGGGATTCATCCAGTGAAATGTCAGTCCATAGTGGAGGTTTTCACAACTAAATCAGGCGCCCTGACTTCTGTTACTGCACGGAAGCGATCAGCGTTGCAGTGGTAGTCGTATCATCCTGAAGAGTATATCAAATAGAAATCTTGTGAGCCTTGCCTCCTCCAGTCCCACTTTCAAACGGTACATCACCATCTCACAACAGGGTATTACTTGGGGTCATGATTTTCTTTCATTTCCTTCAAATTATGGCACCTGAACACTTCATGTGGGCTACGGTACCGCCAAGAAGAAACGTTCCAAATGCTGGCTAGTATTAATTATGAATAATTCTCCAACAGTGCCTGCTTTTCCTTTTCCTTAAAGAGTTTACTTTATTGGTCTCTAAAGTAGGGAGACTTGAAAGGTTGAAACCTTTGTCCCTTCAAATGTTTAGTACTCATGATAAACGTGACGCTCACCATACGTGAACATGATGGATGTTTAATACTCTGGAGGTGTAACGTGGCAGGCAGATAAGCATCACACAGCTAATTGCTCACTCCCTCATGGTGGGATGAGAGAGGAAAGGCCAGAGTACAAGAACACGCTGGTTGAGTTAAGGATGATTTAATATGCAACGTGTTCAAAGGAGGGCAACAAAGCTGGTGAGGGGTCTGGAACACAGGGCTGATGAGGAGAGGCTGAAGGAGCTGGGAATGTTCAACCTGGAGAAGAGGAGGCTCAGGGGAGACCTCAGTGCTCTCTATGACTTCTGAAGGGAGGCTGTAGTGAGCTGGGGGTCGGCCTCTGCTCTCGTGTCATCAGTGATAGGAGCAGAGGGAATGGTTTCAAGGTACGACAGGGGAGATTCAGGCTGGACATGAGGAAGTATTACTTTTCAGAAAGGGTGGTCAGGCACTGGAATGGATGCCCAGGGAGGTGGTGGAGTCACCGACCCTGGGGGTGTTGAAGGAAAGACTGGATGTTGTGTTGAGGGACATGGTTTAGTGGGAGCTGTTGGTAAGAGGTGAACGGTTGGACTGGATGAGCTTTGAGGTCTTTTCCAACCTTGGTGATTCTATGATTCTATGATTCTATGAATATGAAAAAAAGGGGAAAATCAAAGCAGAAGAAAAACAAGCGATTGCTCATTAGACCAGATGACAACTACAAGTCCCTTCTAACCTTAAGCATTCCGTGACTCATCAGTGTTGTGAAAAAGAAGATAGGGAATTGCATTTGTTCTGGATGGATGTTGTAGGAATTCAAAGAGGGACCACAGAAAAAAGTTACCCTGGGGAGTAGTAGAACAAGAGCAAAGCAGAACATGTTGTTTCATCTTTGTGACAAGTGTGCTGGCAATCTGTATCCATGCCGAAATGAGGATGGGTGATTTGAAACAAACAGAAACGGGAGCTGGTGAGGAGAACACCAGGGAGAGCATTTCGTTTGGGCTGAGTCACGTTCTCACTCTGCCTTGGAGAAATTCGTGAAAATGACTGAAAGGATTCGTTACTGCTTAAAACATTCTACCTTTCTGTAGCTCACATTAATTAATTAATTAAAAAAAAATCATCATCTAAATGAAATAACGTTGAAACAGAGTAGAGTATTACTCAAACAGAGTAATGAGGGTTATTTCTGACTTTGAGAGAAGAGTCAAAGAGAAGAATCAAAGCCTTTTCTCCAAGAGAGACACGTAACGAAAATAAAAGAGGAAGAGCATTATTGAAAATCCCATTATTTCTATGGATAAAATTATGCAGCGCACAGGGTATGCAAATGTTCACAAGCTGGATTAAGAATGGAGAGAATGGATGGGAGAGAATGCACTGAAGATAGCGATTTTTGTTTGGACTTGGCCTGGACTTTAGCTTCCAGGAGTTAGCATCATCAAAAACATGGAATCTCTGTGACTTTCCACACCTACATGACCAAGGAATCAGAAACCATATGGAGGAATGTAACAATGTGCTGACTTGAACTTTCACTTTCAGTGACAGTCATGGCAGAAAATCACAAGTTCAAATCGCAATGCATGGCACGAAATAGAATTAAAAAAGCTTGTCCCATCAGGTTAATGGACATCCATGGCATTTCATGCTCCTTCAGCATGAAAAAACCTGACTGGGAGGAGAGTTTGGGGGGCTTTGCAGTTCTTATCCAATTGATCCATAGTGGGCCTTTTGAATGGCATTCATTTCTTTAAGAGCAGTAATAGCATTTTTCTGAATCGTGTGCTCAAGCATGCATGCAGTCATGGGTACACCATAGGATGCATTTCCTTTGTTTCACCCAGTTCTAATTACATTTTTAGTGAGCGACACGGTGGAGAAGATGAAAACCTCACTGAGCAGAGCACTGCCAATTCTCCGTATCCTGTCAGGTAAGGAGAGTTGGATTTCCAATCCAAGTCTCTTTGGAATACAAAAGACAAGACAGGCGACAGTCTTTGTCAGTAGAGCTATGGTTTGGAGAATGGAGTGGAGGCAGAGTGGGGATGGCAGGAAAACTACCAGAGCTCACCAGATGTAACCATCTGTGGTGGTTTTCTTCTTTTCTTGTGACCAAGCAAGCATTAATGTGGATGACCTCAAGAGAAGGAAAATCCAGGGAGGTGCTGAGGTGGTTTTGGAGGGGTCAGGATGAATCCCAGCCAAGCACAGGCAATTCCTGCACTGCAAGGGTGTGTCAGACTGGTTTTAATACTGAGGGAGGATACTTGGAGATGAGGTGATGTTGCTGGCATGGATGTGTGCCTGAGTGACTGTACAGTGTTCAGGACTTTCTATTACATGCACATTGATATGGGGAGGGAAGGATCTCTGCTTGGTGCTCTGCATTCCCTAGAGCTGCAGGTGGGAATCTCCATTCTAAAGACTGATTCTGGTGTAGAAATTGCATGGTGCACAAACCTCTGTTTGAAGTGTAAGGACTGTATAAAGCCCTCTGGTCACAGCCCACATGCCTAGCTATTGGTGGTAGAGATGAGCCACGTGGGTGCTTGTCAGATGTGGAAATGGCTTGCTGTAGGCATTGGCGAGCTTGGGCAGAGAGCTCTTGCTCTTGGTCTTGCATGGGCAATCTTGCTACTGTCAGAATAGGAGGAAGAGGAACAACGTGGAAAACATGACTGTGAGAGTGAAGTGAATGCATGAGAACAGTGCATGGGGCTTTACCATGAGTGTTCCTCAGATTTTGGAGTGCTTTGCAGCATAGGCAGGAAATGCTGCCAACATAGCAGTGCTAAGAATAAGTCAGGAGGTTTAGCTTGTAAGCTGCTTTGACTGCCTGTTTCTTTCCATGCCCATGACATGACCAGAGCAGGGAAAGCTACAAGACAGACTTCACCGTTTTCTTTCATGTCCATTATTTCTTGCAGTAAGAGACATGGTGAAGCTGAAGCTCTCATTGCTTTATGATCGACTGTGCAGCATGCTGCCAACTCACTTCTCATCAGGTAAGGATCGTTGGATTGCCAAGCTAATTCTCTTTGGCTAAGCATCATTTATGGGTGTGTGACTGTGGTGAGGGTTTGGTTTTCTCCTATCTGTCTTTCAATTGTTGGGACTTTTCCTGTCTGTGATGTGATCAGGCCCTGAAAAACCTCAAGTTGGTCTTTCAGTTTTGCCCCTTTTCTACATCATTTCCAGTGAATGATCTGGCAGAACGACTCCAGCATTCAATTTCTGACGCATGGAGCTGGGAAGACGATATTTCTCATCTGGGAGGACAGTTCTGGCAGATGAAGTACATTCTGTGGGCATGCCAAACAGACCTCATCAGCAGTGGAATGTGTTTTCTGTTATATCATAGCTGTAGTCAGTGTCAAGGGAAGAAAGGGGCGAAGAACAGAATGTTGACATGGGAATTAACAAACATTTTCAGTGCTCACTTGCCTAGAAGAGGCTGGAAGGACCAAACAGAAACAACTATCAGCTACTGGTGAAGAATTTTTCATAGGAGTCTGGCACTGGCATGGATAGAACTGGATCCTTTCTGATACTGTACAAGCTGCAAGAGAGCCAGGAGATGTGGAAAAAGCATGAGAGTGTGAGAAAGGGGTGGGCATGGGAGAAGGGCAGGAGGCTGACTGATGGCAGATTGCGATGCCAAAAGCTGAGGTGCGTGCTCTGTCTTGGTTTCTCGGACAGAAATTGTGATGCAAGTCTGGTTTAGGTGCAGGGCGAAGGGAATAGTTGTTGCCAGGGTTGCATACAATGTGGTGGAAGGGAGAGATTCTGCTGAACCCCCAGAGAGCACATTTGAATCTCGTTTTGCCTCGCCTGTGATGTGATCAGGCTTGGGAAAGAGGTGGTGTGGTCCTTGACACTTTGATCCGTTCTACTTCACTTTCAGTGACTGACAAAGCAGAAAAGGTCGCAGCTACAACTGACTATTTGTGAATACAACCAAATGATAACTTCCCATCAAGTAAGCAAAACAATTAGCCTTGGAAATGTTGATGATGTGATCAGCTGTGGCTACTGTTTTAAGTTCTGGTGGGCATATGCTCTGCTAGGAGAAAAGGGAAGTGAAGAAAAAATAGAGGCTAATATTTCCAGGGTTAGTAACAGGTTTTATGAAGACTTTATTTTCACGCTTGCCATGAAAGAGCAACCGTGCCCATGCATGAGTGGTTATCATCTGTAGAGAGAGAAAGAATGTCATTTGGAGACAATGCTGGTCTTGGGGAGGAAGCATGACTTCTGTCTGGAGTAAGACAGTGTTTGAGATGGGAAAAAACTTAAGGACATCTAGTTCAGAGGCAGCAAATTCTTGACACGTGAGAACATCTAAGTGGATTATTGGTAGGTCTTGTGTCTCTCTTGAATTTTTGGTATGGATTACATTCACGTGCAGTCACTGCCATTATAGGTCATGTCAGGAGGCTCTACTTCTGAGTTTGCACTCACATTATGCTTCTACTTCCTTCCTTACTTTTCATTCTTTTTTGCTTATCTTTTCAGTGATTGCTGCATCATGGACGTTCATTTACTCATGGAAGAACAAACCTGTGCATCAGTTTTCCCTTTCAGGTAATCCTAGTTTTAGTGTTAATCACTTTTCCTTGGTTCTTCCAAAGACCTTTTCAGCAGCAGGACCTATTCAGTGCTCTTTTCTGGGAGAGCAGAAAGAGTCCAAAGACGAAGAAGCAAAGGTAGCTTTTAGCAACCAGGCAGTGCTACAGGCTTGGGGCAGAGTGTCTGAGAGACTGTTAAAGGAAGCAGACGTGGAGGTTCTGGTTGATGCTCAGCTGAACCTGAGCCAGCAATGTGCCCAGGTGGCCAAGAAGGCCAATGGCATCCAGGGTTGTAACAGGAATAGCATTGCCAGCAGGAGCAGGGAGCGATCGTCCTTCTGTACTCAGCTCTGGTGAGGCCACACCTCGAGTGCTGTGTTCAGATCTGGGCACCTCACTGCAAGAAAGAAAGTGAGGCTCTGGAGCGTATCCAGGGAAGGGCAACAAAGCTGTGAGCAGTCGGCAGCAGATGTGGGAACTGGGATTGTTCAGTCTGAAGAAGAAGAAGCTCAAGGGTGACTTTATTGCTCTCTAAAACTACCTGCATGAAGGTTATGGTGAGGTGAGGGTTGGCTTCTTCTCCGATGTAAGTAGTGACAAGGTAAGAAGGAATGGCTTCAAGTAGTGCCAGGGGAAATTTAGGCTGGCTGTTAGGGAATTTTTCTTCTCTCAAAGCACGCTCAGGGGCTGGAATGGGCTCCCCAGGGCATAGAGTCACCAACCCTGGAAGTGTTCAAGAAATGTTTGGATGTTATGCTATGGGGCATGTTTTAGTGGGAGCTATTGCTGATAGTTGAGTAGTTGAACCAGATGAAGATCTTGGAGGTCTTTTCCAAATGTGGTGATTCTGTGATTCTGTGATTCTATTTAAAAGCTGCTGTTAGAGTGGTGCTGGTGAGTGACTGCCTGTGTGCCTGTGAGCTGCACAACATACCTTCTTGTTTCCTGTATGTGAGCACGAGTGTATTACAGTGAAACGTGGGCCATAGAATCAGCCTAATCAGAGACTCGTGGCCTGATGTCCAGCTGGTGAGATACGCTAGAACTGAAACACTGTGTAGGCTCTAAGTGAAAAGGGTAACAGGAATAAAGGCTCTCAGGAAAGTCACCAGATTCTGAACAAGATTCGTTTGATGCACATCTCTCACAAGGTTTCGGATAAATATCTGCCATATTTACACAATTATGAACACCTTGTGCGCTGAACAGGTTCTAAATGGCAGATGTTTAGCACACAGAAGATGAAATAGAATATTTTTGATATTTCCAGCGTTCTTCAGGGCTTCTAGTTATTTTGTCACTGACAAAGAAAACTGTGTTTTTACATATTCTTTGAGTTTCATCATTCTCATACATACAAATGCTTTTACAGTGTCATCCCCTGATGTATTCCTGTTGTAAGAACAATGCTTAGTGTAGATAACTCATGACCATTGCTCAGAACGATCCTTTGCCTCTTTCAAATTCTAATGCTCAGAGGTACTGACAAAGATTAGCAAGTGCTTTCTCTAAGGAAGCCGTGTTTCCTCCTTGGAATGCTTGTTTACATGGATGCTGTGTAGTCTGCTGAGCTCAGTCTTGGCTGTCATGGAAGCAAAGAGCTACACTGAGGTTTCTGAGCACAGTCATGACATTCTTACTGCATGCCACCAGATTTCCTTACAGGTGTTCTTGCACTGTATGATACGGATGCATTGGAGATGGCTAAAATATGAGGAGACTCTTTTAAGAAATAGATTTCAAGTGCCTTGTTGCCTTATTTGCTCACATCCATTCAGCTGAGGCACCAGCTGACCATCCTTTTTCTACTCCGTTCTGGCTTTCTACCAGAGTCTGGAAATTAATCCCCTATTGGATTCCCTGAGATTGAGGTGAGATGGGAGCCCTGTGTGCCCCATTCCTGGGGAAAAAGAAAACTGATTGTTTTTTTTTATCTCTCTTTCAGATTATGAAAAACTGAGGACTGAATTAGGTAGGAGAAGCCAAATGCTGACTTGTGAAAATGTCACAAAACCCACAGGGAAGATTCACACACATTCAGAAAAATACTAGAAGGCAAAAGCTATGATTGGTCACAGGATTGATTTAATACACTACAGGAGAAAGATTCCAACGGAAGAAGACCTATAAGCCAGTAGTTGATACTTGGGAAGGGGCTTAACTGTTGGTGATGAAGATTTATCCCTATATTAAAGTGATCTCTGGCAAATACTCCAAGGCCTCAAAGAGCACCGAAAATCAAACTTCATTCTCCAATCCAGTAGAAACCAGAGATGCCTCACTCTGGCAAATTATTTTCATGTTCCCCATTCTCTCTCCACTGCCACTGAGATTTTTACTGTTCAGAAATCTGCTTAGGTTTCAGGTTGGGTTAAAGACCTTTCTAACAGTGGGTTGGTAGACAATGTGGGCCGTGTTTTAGTGTGACAGATGCACTTACTACCTGTGTTACTCATTTTCCTACAGAACTCGTGAAGCGACAACACTACAAAGGTGAGAGTAAAACAACTCGTGGTCCTGAGCCCTTTGATCATAACAGCAGTTTGGAAAGACAGCATTTTCCTTAGAGAGCAGCTCAGAGGATATTTGTGCCTATGGAACGATGACTTCTTCCCTTTCAGAAGCTGTTAGTGCAGCTAAATGGCATTCTTTCCCCTTAGGAAGAAAGGCCCTTTATATCTTTATTTATTTGTTTAGCATGAATGACTTATTTTGAAGATCTTAGTTGGAGCAGTTCCATGGAACCTGTTACGACTTCCAGTTAATTAGCACACATCTGACCATCAGAAAACGGCTCAAGCTGGGTTTCAGCTATGTGTTGCTGCAATGCAGTCCTATGTTTGACCGTGATAATTTGATCACCATAACCAAACAAAAGGTTTTTGAGCTTTTGGCTTTACCAACAGGGGAATGCTTGGCAATGTGCTTTCCCTCATGTCATATCTACTGACCCACAAAGATGAAGGGGCAAGTTTATATAGCTTGGAAATAGACAGGCATCTGCAAGGTGTTTATTATTTGTTGGATAGCAGCCACCCCAGCACGGGAAACAAGAGGCATGGGAATAATAGGAAGGCAGAACGTGGAGGTCTCTGAGCAGGAGGCTCTTACATCTGACAGGGGAGGTGGAGAATGAACAAGTAAAACGTGGATGAAGTGACACAACAGAAAACCTCAGTAAGTCAGACCTTGTGTTTTCTGTTCCTTACAACATGACTTGATCATTGCAGTTGATGTCACCCTGAATGCTGACACAGCTCACCCCAGACTGGAAGTGTCTGAAGATGGGAAGAGCGTGAATGATACCGGTGTGATCAGACAGGTGCCCAGCAAGGAGGAGAGATTTGATTCCCACATTTTTGTGTTGGCAAAGGAAGGATACACATCTGGAAGAAAATACTGGGAAGTGGATGTTGGAAAGAGAAGAAACTGGATCTTGGGTGTTGCTTCTGAGTCTGTGGCTCGTAAAGGGACTGTGAACCTGTCCCCAAAGAATGGCTTCTGGGTCATAGGGTTAACAGATGGGGAAGAGTATTGGGCCCACACGGATCCTTGGACTCGTTTGACAGCGAGTGGTAGACCACAGAAGATTGGGATCTTCCTGGACATCTCTGCCAACAAGCTCTCATTTTATAATGCCAAAAAGAAATCAGCTTTGTACACTTTTACCAGTATTGGTGATAGCAGACTGGAAAGGAAATTCGTTCCCTTCTTCTCAACAGGTTCTGGTGTCTCAGCGCTTGATACTGAGCCATTGAAAATCGTGCAAGGGTTTGATGATGACTGGTTGTATGACTAAAATTCACACCGTGAGACCAGACTGTAGTCAAAAAAAGCCCCTGATTTTGTATTTTCCAAGAGAAACTGTCTACACATCCCATTATTTTTGTGAGATTGAAAGCAAGTATTTCAGTAACTGTTTCCCTTTATTTCCGAAAGCATTCCAGCAATACTGAGAGGGAACATTTAGAATGAATATAAAGAAGGAATTCTTCACAGTGATCATAGAGAGACAGTGGAAGACATTACCCTGAATAGCTGTGACTGCTCTATCGACAGAATTGTTCTGAGGATTGATAGGATTTGAGCAACCTGCTCTAGAGGGGAGATGTCCATTTCCATGGCACAAAGGTTAGACGGGACGATCTTTGAGGGTCCCTTCCAAATCAAATTATTCTAAGCAGGTAAAACTGTAATAACAAGCAGAGCACTGTGTGAAGGAAGATCATGAGGAGCAATTTATAGCAGATTTTTTTTGGCAGAAGCCCAGCAGCAGGCATGGAAAGTTAGGAGACAAAGATATTATGCCAAGCACACAGAATATATTCTTTTGTATAGTGAAAGTTCACGTTCATGTCTATTAGAATTTGAATGAATGCAAGTATGGTAATGTTACTGCATAACTTTATGTAATCACAGTTTAAATAGCAATAAATGATCTCCTTTTTGCAGATATTTGTCCACAGGTCTTACTGTTGTCTGGTTTCATTTGTTAGTATAGTAAACATCCAAGGGGTTTTCAGAATGATTAAGGCTAGAAGGAACCTCTGCAGGTCCTCAGCTGTTCAATCAGGGACACCCAGGGTAGGGGAAGTTGGTGAAAATGCCTTGAGGCCTGCATGGGTTAACAAGGAGATCCTGGCCAAACTCAAGCAAGAAAAGAAAGCCTACAGAGTGTAGAAGAAAGGAGAGGAAACTGGGAAAGAACACGGAGATATTGTTCATGCAGCTAAGGATCGTGTTAAGGAAGCTAAAGCCCAGATATTGTTCAAAGCTTGCTGTCTGCACTCTTTGTGTCTTACAGCCTTAACCCTAACAAGGATTTCCCCCCCCCTCTGTTTGTTTTTCCTTCCAATTATTTGTCTGATATCACTCTCCCTGCTTTGTATCTGCAAACCCTGAGAATCGTGGTCGCGCCACGTGGATCACGACATGAAATGGCCATGAGAGTTGCCCATCTCTCCCCAGTTCAGTTTCTTCACTTCATAGTGGAGAAAAAGAACTGTCATGTACAGGAAAGTAGATCAGAGTGATTTCATATTGATAAATATGATCTAGCAATACAAGTGCCAGGACGCTACACAGCCAATCGATACGCAGCCTTGTTGACTGATCGGTGTAATCCCAATTTCACCCAATTTGACCTCACACTCTGTAGTATTGAACACCAGTGCTCTCCATTTTAACTCAAAATTTGTCTGTTTCCTGTCAAAAATTCTTCTCTGGGTCACGAGATAAAATTACTGAAGATACATTCTCTAACTTTTCTAGCCACACAATTTCCCACAGAAAAGCTTAATTTATAGATAATTTCCAGCACAGGAAATCTCCTTTCCAGGGGACATTTCAGCTGATTTTCAGCTAGTTCATCTAGTTCGTTTGATTCACTTTCTGCATGCTGTAGAGCAGATCAGATTCGAGCAGTTCTTGCTTTTCAAGTCCATACTCAAGACTTCGTGTGAGGGAAGTCAGAACATTGACAACTGCCTTGATTTGTGTTTCCAACTCTGAAAAAGGATCTGGAGTTCTGATTCAGGGAGATGCTGGATACCTACAAACCTCTGATCCAATAAATTCTTCTTGTCCTCATAACTGAATCTAATCCCAACTATCTACCATTTGATCAGAAGCTATTGCGATTACCTAAAGTAGAAGATATTAATGAGTACAGGCACTGGTAATCCTTTCTAACAGTGATTGCTATGTAGGATCACATGGAAGACTGGCAGGAAGGGCGAAGTGTCCCAGAAAAGTTAGCAATCCAATAGGAGGAACCTCTACGAAGGACAAGGATAACACAAAATTACCTGCACAGAAATGGGCAGAAGGAGACAAAATGGGGCAAGCCGGACTGAGCTCAGATGGGGAAAAAAAACACGTGGAAGGTAGAGCCAGGGACAAACAGCCAGAGGAGATAGCCGAAAATTGTGCATGTTTGCAGGGATAAAAAGAGGAAGAACACAACTTGGCCTGGGTTTAAAGTAGTGTGGGGTGTGAAGGTCATCCTGAAAGCTCAAAGAAATCTTAGTTCTGCTGCCAAAGGGTGAGAGTGAACTGAAGGTGGCTTGCCTGGGCTCTTGTAGAACCAGAAGAGGGCTTACACTGATAGAAGCAGAGCGGTGACATTATGCACCTTCACTTCAGGGAACTCATCCTACACAGCTAGTGGGATAATAAGCATCTTGGGAATGACCAAACCAGGCTTTGACCAAGATGCAATCACAAAAGGCAACAATCCACTAAAGCAACCCCCAACAAAATAACTTCTACAATTTATAAGACTTCCACTCATTCTTGGTATGGGAAAATGGTATTCACTCCTTGGGGTGTTTGGTCAGAGACATACAAAGAACAATTGCTCACTAGTTTTTAATTTCATTCTTTAGATTTTAACTGATTAATGATTTCTGATTCTTTATCTTTCTATTTCATAGGCAAAACACTTGCAGAAAGGATGTTCTGATTGCCTAATGTTACTTTGTCAAGTGTGGTGCAAGCTTCAAGCGCAGGACATTCAGGTCTCTTCTACTGCAGATGAAAACAGCAAAAGAATAGATGCAAAAAATGTTACACTTCTTAAAGATACCTGGCCATCATTTTCTTTCTTCATTTTCTCATCTTTTCTTCTAACACAGGTTAGAGCACAGCAATAAAGAAAATTTATAGAGATGTTTTTTTGCTGACAGTTCAAATACAACTGGGAAAAGACTTGGATTTCCTAAGACTGGTTCTATCCACCTTGGAGCAAACCTGAAAACAGTGTTTCTCTGGTCCCACCTCATCAGTAGACGTGTAGAACATACAGTCAGCAGCATGCAAAGAGTGCTTTGATGTCATCTTAGAACTGAAGTACATCTGGGTAGAGAAATCACACCCTGAACTCAGAGCTCACCCATTCCCTTTGTCATGGTCCTTCTTCGGGTGTAGAAAATGCTATCAGAGATTGATAAGCCTCATTACTTCCAGGCACTTCTTTTCAGCATAGAGTGAATTAGCTGAATAAAGCTTCCTACACCCACTGTCCTGCAGCCTAGCTGAACTCAAAGGCCAACTCAGTCAAAACACGGAGACTTCTTGAGATTTCTGGAAATGTTTTCAATGATTTGGTTTGGGTGACCAGTGGCACGTAACTCACTGTCAGAGTCAGTACTTCAAATGAAGCAAGCTGCCCTGTCCACCAGCTCCCACATGAGTTACACTGCCAGGCTGTTTCTTCACCCCCTGAGCACAGTCAGCTGCTTGCCATTCTTCAAATCAAACACCCAGTCATTATTTCTTGCCAGACAAAACTCACCAACGTTGCTTAATTAAATGAGTAGAAAGAAAACATACAGAAGTAAACCTGTCCCTGCAGTGATCACTGCCAGCTTCAGTTTTGCTTCTTGGTTTCAGATTTCTCTTACCAATATACACAGATAACTAAATAATGCAGGCAGCATTAAGTACTGCAGACTTTGGCCTTAATTACTAGTGATGAGGCTCATAAAAATGTTCCCATATAGGATGAAGGGCAACTGTTCAAGTACACACTGCAGGAAACATCTGGAGTGTGTGAAGGAAGTTTTCTGGTCTACTACTTGACCATTTGACCAGCATGCACCGGTACAGGTTGGGGGATGAACTGCTGGAGGGGAGCTCTGCGGAGAGGGACCTGGGTGTCCTGGTGGACGACAGGTTGCCATGAGCCAGCAGTGTGCCCTTGTGGCCAAGAGGGCCAATGGCATCCTGGGGTGCATTAAAAAGAGCGTGGCCAGCAGGTCGAGGGAGGTGATCCTCCCCCTCTGCTCTGCCCTGGTGAGGCCTCATCTGGAGCACTGCGTCCAGTTCTGGGCTCCCCAGCACAAAACAGACAGGGATCTCTTGGGAAGAGTCCAGCGGAGGGCCACGAAGATGGTGAGGGGCCTGGAGCATCTCTGCTATGAGGAAAGGCTGAGTGAACTGGGTCTGTTCAGCCTGGAGAAAAGAAGACTGAGAGGGGACCTGATTCAGGTCTATCAGTATCTGAGGTGAGGGGGGGAGAATGGCGAGGCCAGACTCTTTTCAGTGGTGAGTGGAGACAGGACGAGGGGAAACGACCGGAAACTGCAGCATAGGAAGTTCTGCACCAATGTGCACAAGAACTTCTGTACAGTGAGGTGACGGAGCACTGGAACAGGCTACCCAGGGAGGTGGTGGAGTCTCCTTCTCTGGAGATATTCATGACCCACCTGGACACCTACTTGTGCGACCTGCTGTAGGGAACTGCTTTGGCAGGGGGTTGGACTCAATGATCTCTGGAGGTCCCTTCCAACCCCTACAATTCTGTGATGCTGTGATACTTGACCCTGCAGCCCCCAACAAGACCTCCCTCCCATCCCCAATAGCATTATGCTGCAGATACTTGGTATGAAACTGTAGTTTCAAGACTTCATTATTTCTAACCACAACCATTCAAAAGGCACGTGTGCAGGATTGTGCTGTACTCTCTTTGCAGAACTGAGAAAACAAACACCTTCTGAGCATATAAAGTCAGACTGCCCTGTTTTACAGCAGGTACTCTGCAATACTAAACCACAAATGCTTTTGCTTTTTGCCCTACACACATCTGTTTAGCGAGCAAAGTGTTTGTACGGGGTAGAGAGTACAGCTAGGAATACAGAATTATTGTGACCCCAAGGAATTGTGAAATAAATTCTCTTAGCTTCTGTGGCAGACGTTCCAATTAAAATGGAATGGGCTGCCCACAAAGGTGGCAGTCACCATCCAAGGAAGCATTCAAGAAATGCTTAGATGTTCTGTGAAGGGACAGAACACGGGGGAATATTGGCGGTAGGTGGAAGTTTGGAGCGGATGATCTTGGAGGTCCTTACCATCTTTGGTGGTTCAGTGATTCTACGCTATGAAAAGGGA